AATCCTATTTACAAACACAACCCCTAATTTCACAACAAACAACGGAAAACCTTGCCACCCATCAACGCCTATAAGCCTAAATAATATTTGAAGGCATAGGGAGATAAGAATAAATCTATTCGATTGAATTCATTATCAATACATCCCACGATACATGAATATCATTGACAAATATCTTTCATTATATTCCGAATTCTAGATCTTCCAAGAAACCGATTTCCTCAGAAATAAATAGATATTCATCTCATAATCCCCAAAATCATCAGAAAGAATTATCATTTCTCAAGGATGAGATTCATTTATAAATTATTTCCTCAAGACTTACAAGGAAAATAATTCATAAACCCTATTCGTTTCAGATTTTTAAATACCTTTTTTTTCGATCAAAAAATAGGGTCAGATTCTATTCCAAGATTTATATATTCTAAAAACTTTGGATTGAAAATTTAGATATTTCAATTTAAATCGTCAATTTATCCTAAATATTCGAATTTTAAGCCAAATAGGACTTGAATTGAAAAATCCAAGATTCCAAGATTTAAACATCCAATCCTAAATCATCATTTAAATCTAAACCCTTAAAACGCTATAGGATACTTAAATCTAAACCCATAGAATTTAAATCTAAGGGGCCTAAATACTTAATTTTTAAATCCTACAGATTATAGGAATAAGGTTTGAAGACTTAATATACGAAAATAAGCCCATAAAATTTTAAATTTAAATCTCATCATTTAACCTTTAAATATTTTATAGGCTATAGGGATTTAAATTTTTCGATTTAGGATTTAAGATTTAATCCGAAATTCATATCTTAAGAATTTAAGATTTAGGTATTTAAAATATAAAATCTTGAAAGAACCCTAAAATCCTATAGGGTTCTAAAAAATTCATAATTTTTATCTTTATAAGTGTAAAACCTTTTAATTCCTCAGGGCTTTAGAGATTCATCCTGAAAAGCCCTAAGCTTTTAGATCCTATGGGATTTAAAAGCTTATATAATCTAATATCTATCTATCTATATCTTCAACGCCTACAAGATAAAAACCTTTTAATATTTTAGAGCCTTGTCGGGCTTCAAAGATCTGATCCTAAAAGGTTTAAGATCCAAAAAAAAAATATATATCTTAAATTCTTAGGGTTTATATTCTATAGATTTGGAGGATATTAATATCTAAATCTTAAATTTTCCAAATTTTAGTCCTATATAATCTAGAAAAAAGAAAAATTATATGATCAATTCCCTTAAATTTAAATTCCATAGTCTTACATTTAGACCCCTCAAGATTTAAAATCTATGGTCTTAGATTAATCTAACCCTATCGATAAACGTCGACGACCATAAAACCAGAGCAAAAGAAGAGGGCCGGAGGGAGGACCAAGGGACCAGAAAACCAAGAAAGGAGCGGGCGAGCATGACCAGGAGCATTGGACCGAGAGACAAAAGGACCAGGAGGCCACAGGATCAGGGAACCGAAACCAAAATCCCCTCTCCCCCCAAACATATTCACCCAGAAACAGACTTCCCGTTGCTTCCAATTCTTGAAAATCTCAGCTGTTAGTACTGTTTGTTCAACCAAATATTGAGCGCCCCTGCGCAATTGCGCAATGGTTGCAGCTTGCACTTAAAGCGCGATAACTTCATGCGGGGACGTTCCTTGGTGAGTTACTTTTCTGGGATCTTTGCATCGCAATGTGCGCCGAATACAGGATCAACCTCTTGATTCTTTGGGGAGACTAAAGGGGGCGGTTGATTTGCTAAGGGTTTCGATTCGCAGAACGCTGGCTCAATGGGAGCGATGCCACATGAGCTACTGCCTGCGCACTTCACAAAGTCCAAAGAAGTCCGAGGAACTCAGCTCGCACACTGCCTGAAATCTCTTCAAAGCCTGCCCTCGTGGCCCCAAGCCGAAATCACGACATCGCTTCCGTGAACAAGATCCCAAACCGTCTCGGCTCCGTCTTTTCCAGTGGGCGAGTCATTCACTGATGCTTTCGTTCGTGACGAAGGGATCCTTGAGGGCCTCCTGGCGTTTGGCTTAGGGTTAAAACAGTTAAAGAAGGGAAGCTTAAAGCTTGGCGGCCTACGGCTGAGGGGCTGAAGGGGCTCAGGACGTCGGCTCGGGTTCGAATCTTCCTTATGGGCCCTCGTCATCGAAGGTCCTTTTGTTCCAAGCGCACTTACACTTCTATCGGGTGTAGTGATGGCCACAGCCCCATCTTGAGATGCTCTCACATCTACGTGGATCTGGGGGGAAATTAAGCGACGGGGCCCAGGCTACGGCAACCTGAATCTCGAAGCCTCGAAGCCTCCAAGATTGAAACTTGGATCTTCTTTTTATTTGCCAATGCGAGAACGCAGGCTTCTCCATCAGCACTTGACTGCTAACGACCAGCGCCAGGCAAAAAAGTAAGTGGGCATATCACTGCTTCGCTTGCAGAAGAAAAAAAACCTGGAACCCATTGATCCAAACCCTAAACCCTAAACAGTTGAAGCCCTTCAACCTCTTTCTACCGCACTGTCTCGAAGGCTGACTCTGTGTTGCCAAGCCCTCAGAAATTCCGAGCCCATAGGCTCCACTCCAAAGCCAGCAGCCAACCATACTCATGAACTCCACATCACCCACCCTTGACCCAGACATGCGCTCCTGGGCAGAGAGCCGCCGCTCAGGCGATGGTGCCATCAGCTTTTCCAACCTTGTACACGGACGAGAGCTAAAGAAGAAAGTTGGGTTTGGGGCTTGGGGGCCCCGAAGGGTTCCTATAGGAAGCATCTGGCCAACAGCTGGCAGATGGGTCCAGATAAATTGTCGTTCGTCTGGAAGTTGGATCCTGCAGCTTGATCTGGGTCGTGGTGGTGGTGACCGCTGCAAAGGTTCCAATTCGAGTGGCAGCAATCGGAGTGATCGGCCCTGGGCCCTTGGTGTGCCGCTCGTTGCCATGTGATCGAGGCCAACGGCCACCTAGTCGTTGGTGGGTCCCGCAGCAACAGCCTGAACTCCAAGCCCTACAGCCGTGGGACAAGCGAGATGGCCGACGCTTGCCCAGCGTAATCGTCCCGCGCGTGTGGGATACTTCAAATCTGGTTTGATTCCTCTACACAGCGGAGAGAGACTCCCCGAAAAGGAAGCCCCCGGCCTGTCTCACTCTTTCTCCTTCTGATGCTTCTTATCTTCATCTCTCTGTTCTTTAAGCCGTAGCACTCTGTCTCATTGCGCCATGGCTGCGCCTCAGATGCCTCTGCTTCAGTCACTTCAGTCTGAGCTCCCAGCAACGCCAGAAGCGTGCTGTGCTGCGGCAGAACCCTCTGCTGCAAGGGCTTGGCCATGTTGATCGCCTCCTGAGCCTCTCAGATTGTGCGGCTCGGAAGTGTCTTCCAGATCAATTCCTTGCTCTAAGAGGGCTCACACTGCAATGGAGTTCAACAGTAGAGGGGAATTCGGCAGCATGGTGCAAGCATGTGCAAGCCATGGACCTCGTCGACAAACTTGCGGTTCAGGCGCAGTGAGCCTTCCGAGTTAGATTCGGAAGAGGTCCATGCATTCGATGCATTGAATGTTTTACTGTCCTCTGAAAGGAATCGCACGATTCGTAGCTTCCTTGTGTGCAAAGTCTGCCTGGGACCTGTCCTGCAATGTCAAGGGCTGGACAGTACGCAAGCTCGTTTGCTCTGGCTCATTGCCGCCCGACGAGAAAGTCACACTTTCGCAACTAGACTGTGCGTCCCAAAGCGCTGACAAACACGTGGGGACCCCAGCAAGTGGGGGCACCCAACCTTGGCCGTCTACCGAGACGTCTTCTGGCAAGCTGCCGCCTGCCAGGACAACAGAAGATGCTACGGGTTCACAGCAACCCGGGTTGGAGAAGTGCGGATTCTGATCCTTGGTACCGTTGTTCATAGCTGCTTTTTACTCAAGTTGTTGTTATTGTGACAGTCGTCGTTGGCTGTTGTTTTCTTATTCTTTCTGCTTACTGCAACTCGATGCTTAATGGCTGGATGCTTTTCTCGCCTACGGCTGTCGTTGTTCCTACCACTGTTTCCGTTGGATCTTTTAAGTTGGGTGCCAGAGCAAGTTGTCGGGAAGCAACGCCTGAAGCGGCATTTCGCAACATCTCCCGCGGAAGCTCTCCTTAGAGGATGCAGGGAAGTGCTTCCATTGGCCCCTGGCGGCATGGCACAGGCGAAGCCTCCATTCTGAATTTGTTTATCCAACCTTCCTCAACCCTAACGCCCCAACTAGTACGAACATGTACGAGCTAGCCTATGCTTGTGTCTTTCCGTGTTTGCTGAAGGCCGAGCTTCCGATCACTCGTTGCATCATCGCCAGGTGCTGAAGGCTGTTTTGCACCGGGAACGGGCGCTCTCCAGTGTATAGGGTGAGAAGAATGCAGCCGAGACCTCGGCATGAGGTGGTTGCCACATCTTTGTTTAAGCTCGCCGCTCAGACGCCCCATGCCAATTCCTTCCCATGAACAGTGCCATGAACAGTGTGCATAGGAATGCGGGCGATACTATTGATTGAGGCACCGCAGATGGCACACGCCATCACTCCATCATTCTCGTCAGTCCATGTCCCCGCCGCATGGGCTTCGGCAACTAAGCTCGCTGCTCCAAACCTCAGGTCCAGTGAGAGCATTATGGGCAAAGAACAGTGCCGTGACCCCTTTCAGTTATGGCCCCAAACCACGCCCTGTAATTGTTCTGGCTGCTTCGCCAAGAAGCGTCCGTCTTCTCATCCCATGGAAGTCCCAGGACGACTTCTGGAGATCGGTACTGCCTGGTCCCGACCCGCTTGCTGTGACGCTCCTTCTTCAGCCTTGGCGCGGCCGAGGCTGGTGAGGGTTAGGATTCTGTTTTGTTTGCGGATGTTGGGACTCCAAATGCTATGATTGGAGAAGCTCCCATCGATCAATGGCTGCTGGACCTGCTGCCCCGATCGCGTTCTCGTTTGTTTACCACGGCCTCTTGTGGCGCATGGATGTGTTCCCAACAAATACGCCCTCCCCAAAACCTCGCACCTGAATGTGCTTTACTTTGTCAAAGACTTCCTATGGCCCGACATTTCATGAGGAAAGAGGGCTGGAGGGCTGAGCTAGGCAGCACTGCACCACCGAAGTCGATCACGCGAATTTCCTGGGTGCTTCTTGGGCTAGAGCAAAAGACATCCCTAAACTCTGAACCCCTAAGCAGTCGGCACTGAACACGTGAACATTGCGGATGTGGACGCTGAACGCCACAGCACCATCAAGGGCAACATCAAGCCCGCCTGCCGTCTTGGCACCAAGCCGCGAGCCTTGAAGCCAAGTATCGCATCGGTGCAACTTCTTGGTTTCCCGCCCCGACTTCCTTGGATGAGGGACCTCGGCCGAAGGAACCAGGACCTCACCAAATTAGCGCTTCGGATCAATGCGAGCGTTGGGTGCCTGAGCTGTGCCTTCGAGTCATGCAGGAACCATACAAGTGCTTTACTAGAAAGCGACTGAGTGCAGCTCCATTTCGCCCCTGGAGTCCTTCAGCATGGCATTGCGGCATTTGATGTCCTCAGGGTACGATGTGATGCAGCAGCATTCCGAAATATTCCGAATCTGCCCGCCGGTGAAAAAGGCCCCTGCGCCGACGTAGAGGCGGAATGATATACGAAGCTTATCGTAGCATCTTCCGAGAGCCATGAGCTGTGAACTGTGAACCTGAAGCCACACAGCGCAGTTGACCTGTTGAGGGCACCGTTATCTCTGAGCTACTGGATCGTTCTTGCAGTCCAGCTTCCGTGTGAGTCAAACTCATAGCGTTGAGAAAGTGCAGACACTGCAGAATCTGAGAGGCGATCGTCCTGATGTCTCCTGAGAGTGCCATTATGGACTAAACATGAACATGCGTGAACCTTGGAGGCTCAGCCCTCGAGCTTGGCGCCGGGCAGTCCTAACATGACATGTTACACAAACCTCCACATTGTGGAGGTTTGTGTAACCATCTGAACCTCCCCCCCCCCCCCCCCCCCAAGGCACGAGACGCAGACGCTCACGCCTGCGGCCGACGTTTCTGAGCTACGCCCACCCAGTCTTCCTGAAACTTCCCCAGGTCCCCAAAACTGCAAGAACCTCCAACATCCTGAACCCCTTATTAAGCTGGCATGATCTCGCTTTCTGATAGCCCAGAAACTGAGCATCAGCCCCTGATCATCCGTCTCTCCTCGGATGGGCGGAATGATTCATTAGGGCCTCAGGATGGGCTTGCGACCCAGGCTCCAACCCGGAGCTCGAGGGGCTTTGTGGAGATAACGAATAGGGGATCAGCCCACCCCAAAACCTTTGGACACAGACAGGCCATCTTGAACTCTGCCCGCCAGGTGTCGCATGAAGTCGCTGAGACTCTTGTCCAAGAGCTCCTCATCAGTTCATCAGCATTCCCATGCGACATGGGACCAACAAAGCTGTGTTGTGTCAAACCTTCATCCCTCGTCATCCCTGAAGACTCCAGGACCTGTGGACTCACTCCGAAACCTGTACCCCAAGTGCCCAAGTGCATGCATACTTGCCAGGCAAGAGGCAAACACCAAGCAGCAGTGGTTCAGATCATGGGTAAACTCTCCCAGAAGCTTGACGCAGTAGCTCTGTCTGCCTGGATCACCTGGGGGGGGGGGGTTGAATTTTCAAGGCTTCATGAGAAGCTCCACTTAGAAGAAAGCGTGTTCTTGGAAGGAGTCAACTCCGTTCAGGCCGGCCGCATCTGCGCAGCTCCCTGAGCAGCTCCGCCTCGGCATGCGCGTGCTCTTTGTACCGCGCCACACCTGCGCTCCGATTTGGTGCTTTAAGAGGGGGGGCTCATGTTTAGGGGACTTAGGGGGTTCTGGGCTTCGACCCTGGAGTCGGCTACATGCATGTGGACGGCTCCGAACGGTAGCCTCGTGACTGTCAGTGCTCTCCGCTCATGAACTTATAAGATCACCGACATCAATTGACTGAGCGTTTCACGAGTCAGCCGAAACGTTCTTTCTCACTTGCTTTAAGGGTCAGCCTTGCCATTATGAAACCTCCCAATACTCATGCTCGTTGGGACCGTTGCTTGTCGCTCTGCGAGGTTTGGTGCTTGCTACCGACCACCTGTTCAACTGCAAAACTGCGAACAAGCTTTGAGGAGCAGTTCGCCCACGAAAACGCCCCGCCTTTCACCACCTTCACTGCCACCAGCTGCTTCGTCGACTCCTCGAAGCAAGCCAGAACTCGGCCGAAGGAGCCCTCACCCACCTGACAGAAGCGTTATCTGTTGTGCGATTGTCCCTACTTTGAAGAGTACGCGCTTGAATTCCATTGGGGTATATCTGAAGGAAATGAATGGTAGATGGGGGCTTCCAGCTCACTGCTCGCGCTTCGGCTCAAGTTTGCTCACTCCGAAAACAAGGCACTTAACAATCTTAATCCCATCCCCCTATTAATTAAATGGGGGGCTCCCCCCCCCCCTCAATAAACACTCGAAATGTGCTTTCAATATTAGGGGGGTGTTTGTATCCAAATGGGTCCAAAGGGTTTAGCGTCTAGAGTTCAGGGCCAGGCTCACAGACAGCTAAGTGCTGCGAAGTGACTGGGAGGGAAGGGAGGGCTGGGAGCTTCAGGATGTTGGTTGGCTTGAGGGTGTTGGGAGCCCCCAACCCCCCCCCCCCCCCCCAATTCGGAATAGGCTTTGAAAGGCGGGGTCGGTTTCGGCAGGATTTCCGGAAAGTGTTTTATTTATTGGGGGTACGTTTAATGCAAGGGGGATGGGATTAATGAGGATGTAAAGGGTTCCACATCCACACCCCGAACTCCTTAATATTAAGATTCAAAGTGTCTGCCTGCTTGCGCACGATGTAGTTGCCGGTGCCCAGTTTCATGCCCCGAGTCCAGTGGAAGTGAGGGGTGTCCCGGTTCTGCTTGCCTGGGCGCTAGAGATTCTCGAGCACTTAGTAGAGCATCTAGAAGAGAACATATAGGCACTGCTATAAATCACCCTTCAAGCGGTGCGTTCTTGGCTGGAGGGCTGAGCACCCATACATCCTTCGTCCTTGGTCCTGCAGGCCATAGCCTACTAGCCCAGGACTCCTAGCCAGTTTTTCGAGTAACTGACCTCAAACCAGAAATCCTACATTCAAACAACAACCGCTCTCACTGGCTGCAGAATCACTGACCGGAACCCTCAATCACAAAACCCTAAGCTCTACGACAAACACGACATGCAGGGTGACCAGCATAGACCGGCGAACGATCCGGGCCTACCTCTACTGTGCATCCAGGTAACGTTCCTCGGAGTTCTCGCTGGAATCAGTTTGCCGCTCCCCTGCAGGTTGCACGCTTGTGAAATTCGAGTCAACTGTGCAAATCTCAGCTCTCCGTGGTGTGCAGGTTACTGTTCCCAGTAGCCCTGGAGAGCCTGGGGCGTTGAGAAGAAACTGATGCTCGTGGTGACAGCTTAGGTAGCAAGATGCTTGGCAGGCCTGACAAGGTGCCGGGGGGGTGCGAGGGGGGATTTGCCTGTGTCAAGGGCGCTCGCTTTGCTTGCATCCTATGGCAAAGTCCGGCTGATGCTCACTTGACGAGTGGCCTCTGGGCAAGAGCCAGTCCGGCTGATGCTGGTGATGCTCGATTTGCAAGGCCAGTCTGGCTGATGCTCGTGATGCTCGATTTGCTTGCGGCCTGTGTCAAGGCTCAGCCCGGCGGATGCTCACGATGCTCGCTTTGCTTGCGTCCTATGGGAAAGGGCAGTCTGGCTGATGCTCGTGATGCTCGATTTGCTTGCGGCCTGTGTCAAGGCTCAGCCCCGGCTGATGCTCATGCTGCTCGCTTTGCTTGCGTCCTATGGGAAAGGGCAGTCTGGCTGATGCTCGTGATGCTCGATTTGCTTGCGGCCTGTGTCAAGGCTCAGCCCGGCTGATGCTCATGATGCTCGCTTTGCTTGCATCCTATGGGAAAGGGCAGTCTGGCTGATGCTCGTGCTGCTCGATTTGCTTGCGGCCTGTGTCAAGGCTCGGCCCGGCTGATGCTCATGATGCTCGCTTTGCTTGCGTCCTATGGGAAAGGGCAGTCTGGCTGATGCTCGTGATGCTCGATTTGCTTGCGTCCTATGGGAAAGGGCAGTCTGGCTGACTCGTGATGCTCGATTTGCTTGCGGCCTGTGTCAAGGCTCAGCCCGGCTGATGCTCATGATGCTCGCTTTGCTTGTCCTATGGGAAAGGGCAGTCTGGCTGATGCTCATGATGCTCGATTTGCTTGCGGCCTGTGTCACGGCTCTGCCCAGCTGAGGGCAGTCTGGCTGATGCTCGTGATGCTCGATTTGCTTGCGGCCTGTGTCAAGGCTCAGCCCGGCTGATGCTCATGATGCTCGCTTTGCTTGCGTCCTATGCAAAAGGGCAGTCTGGCTGATGCTCATGATGCTCGATTTGCTTGCGGCCTGTGTTAAGGCTCAGCCCGGCTGATGCTCATGATGCTCGCTTTGCTTGCGTCCTATGGGACAGGGCAGTCTGGCTGATGCTCGTGATGCTCGATTTGCTTGCGGCCTGTGTCAAGGCTCAGCCCGGCTGATGCTCATGATGCTCGCTTTGCTTGCGTCCTATGGGAAAGGGCAGTCTGGCTGATGCTCGTGATGCTCGATTTGCTTGCGGCCCGTGTCAAGGCTCAGCCCGGCTGATGCTCATGATGCTCGCTTTGCTTGCGTCCTATGGAGTCTGGCTGATGCTCGATTTGCTTGCGGCCTGTGTCAAGGCTCAGCCCGGCTGATGCTCATGATGCTCGCTTTGCTTGCGTCCTATAGGAAACGGCAGTCTGGCTGATGCTCGTGATGCTCGATTTGCTTGCGGCCTGTGTCAAGGCTCAGCCCGGCTGATGCTCATGATGCTCGCTTTGCTTGCGTCCTATGGGAAAGGGCAGTCTGGCTGATGCTCATGATGCTCGATTTGCTTGCAGCCTGTGTTAAGGCTCAGCCCGGCTGATGCTCATGATGCTCGCTTTGCTTGCGTCCTATGGGAAAGGGCAGTCTGGCTGATGCTCGTGATGCTCGATTTGCTTGCGGCCTGTGTCAAGGCTCAGCCCGGCTGATGCTCATGATGCTCGCTTTGCTTGCGTCCTATGGGAAAGGGCAGTCTGGCTGATGCTCATGATGCTCGCTTTGCTTGCGTCCTGTGGGAAAGGGCAGTCTGGCTGATGCTCGTGATGCTCGATTTGCTTGCGGCCTGTGTCAAGGCTCAGCCCGGCTGATGCTCATGATGCTCGCTTTGCTTGCGACCTATGGGAAAGGGCAGTCTGGCTGATGCTCGTGCTCGATTTGCTTGCGGCCTGTGTCAAGGCTCAGCCCGGCTGATGCTCATGATGCTCGCTTTGCGTGCGACCTATGGGAAAGGGCAGTCTGGCTGATGCTCGTGATGCTCGATTTGCGTGCGGCCTGTGTCAAGGCTCAGCCCGGCTGATGCTCATGATGCTCGCTTTGCTTGCGTCCTATGAAAGGGCAGTCTGGCTGATGCTCGTGATGCTCGATTTGCTTGCGGCCTGTGTCAAGGCTCAGCCCGGCTGATGCTCATGATGCTCGCTTTGCTTGCGTCCTATGGGAAAGGGCAGTCTGGCTGATGCTCGTGATGCTCGATTTGCTTGCGGCCTGTGTCAGGCTCAGCCGGCTGATGCTCATGATGCTCGCTTTGCTTGCGTCCTGTTCACGGCTCTGCCACTGAGGGCAGTCCTGGCTGATCTCTGTGTGCTCGATTGCTTGCGGCCTGTGTCAAAGGCTCATCACCGCTGATGCTCATGATGCTCGCTTTGCTTGCATTTTATGGGAAAGGGGCAGTCTGGCTGATGCTCATGATGCTCGATTTGGCGGCCTGTGTCAAGGCTCAGCCCGGCTGATGCTCATGATGCTCGCTTTGCTTGCGTCCTATGGGAAAGGGCAGTCTGGCTGATGCTCGTGATGCTCGATTTGCTTGCGACCTGTGTCAAGGCTCAGCCCGGCTGATGCTCATGATGCTCGCTTTGCTTGCGTTCTATGGGAAAGGGCAGTCTGGCTGATGCTCGTGATCTCGATTTGCTTGCGGCCTGTGTCAAGGCTCAGCCCGGCGGATGCTCATGATGCTCGCTTTGCTTGCGTCCTATGGGAAAGGGCAGTCTGGCTGATGCTCGTGATGCTCGATTTGCTTGCGGCCTGTCAAGGCTCAGCCCGGCTGATGCTCATGATGCTCGCTTTGCTTGCGTCCTATGGGAAAGGGCAGTCGTGATGCTCGATTTGCTTGCGGCCTGTGTCAAGGCTCAGCCCGGCTGATGCTCATGATGCTCGCTTTGCTTGCGTCCTATGCGAAAGGGCAGTCTGGCTGATGCTCGTGATGCTCGATTTGCTTGCAACCTGTGTCAAGGCTCAGCCCGGCTGATGCTCATGATGCTCGCTTTGCTTGCGTCCTATGGGAAAGGGCAGTCTGGCTGATGCTCGTGATGCTCGATTTGCTTGCGGCCTGTGTCAAGGCTCAGCCCGGCTGATGCGCATGATGCTCGCTTTGCTTGCATCCCATGGGAAAGGGCAGTCTGGCTGATGCTCGTGATGCTCGATTTGCTTGCGGCCTGTGTCAAGGCTCAGCCCGGCTGATGCTCATGATGCTCGCTTTGCTTGCGTCCTATGGGAAAGGGCAGTCTGGCTGATGCTCGTGATGCTCGATTTGCTTGCGGCCTCAAGGCTCAGCCCGGATGATGCTCATGATGCTCGCATTGCTTGCGTCCTATGGGAAAGGGCAGTCTGGCTGATGCTCGTGATGCTCGATTTGCTTGCGGCCTGTGTCAAGGCTCAGCCCGGCTGATGCTCATGATGCTCGCTTTGCTTGCGGCCTCAAGGCTCAGCCCGGCTGATGCTCATGATGCTCGCTTTGCTTGCGTCCTATGGGAAAGGGCAGTCTGGCTGATGCTCGTGATGCTCGATTTGCTTGCAACCTGTGTCAAGGCTCAGCCCGGCTGATGCTCATGATGCTCGCTTTGGTTGCGTCCTACGGGAAAGGGCAGTCTGGCTGATGCTCGTGATGCTCGATTTGCTTGCGGCCTGTGTCAAGGCTCAGCCCGGCTGATGCTCATGAATGCATGCTTTTCTCCGTGGCGTGTGGGTGCAACTTAGAAGGCGGCACAGCCTGAGAGTTCAAAGCCGTGCGGCAAGACAAAAGAGCAGCGAAAGGCAAAAGAGCGCACTTAAAAGTGCAAGGAGATTGGAGCAACAAACCAATGCCGGCGACAAGCAGGCACTAGCTTGCTGCTCATGCCCGGGCGGGCCGGGCGGGAGGCTTGAGCAGCCACCCGATCGCATGAATTCATACCTGACATGAATGCATGCTTTTCTCCGTGGCGTGTGGGTGCAACTTAGAAGGCGGCACAGCCTGAGAGTTCAAAGCCGTGCGGCAAGACAAAAGAGCAGCGAAAGGCAAAAGAGCGCACTTAAAAGTGCAAGGAGATTGGAGCAACAAACCAATGCCGGCGACAAGCAGGCACTAGCTTGCTGCTCATGCCAAATCCAATGCTACGCAGAAAGCGCAACCGACAAGCGGCCAGCAGGAGTGTTGCAGCCCGACGCCAGGAGTGAAGAATCCACGCCGCTCAACGCGGATCGGCTGAGACAGCTGCAATCAAGCAAGAACAAACAGACTCAAACAACCTGACACGCTCTAAGGCGCGATTCGGAAGCTGTCTCAAAGAGGATTCAACTGCAGTTTCTTGTAAATAGTGAGACAGAGTCCTCTGGTTGGAGACGCGAAGCCGCCACATGATGGTAGAAATATCAAGATTCAAAAAGTACATGTGGCAGGCTGCGCCACCTCGCACGCCTCCTGGCGTGATGAATTTAGTTGGCAGCAAGAGGATCTTACAAATGGTATCCCACCGCCTT